GCATCCTCTACTCTGTTCTGTTGATCTACATGTCTGTTTCTGAGCCAGGAACGTGCCGCTATTATCACTGTAGCTTTGTGAGATAACTTGAAGCCCTGGATTGTTAAATCTCATGTAACGCTCTTGCTGTCCTGAATTACTTTAGGTATTCTTGGTCTCTTCTGGTTTTGTATGAATTTTATAATTGTTTTCTCTAGCTCTGTGAGGAATGCTATTGATATCTTGATAGAAATTGTGTTACTCTATGCATCAGTTTTGGAGTTACGGCCATTTTGTCAACATTGTTTCTTCCTGTCAAGAACAGGGGGTGTATTTTCATTTTCTGATGTCCCCTTCAATCTCCTTTTATGGAGTACTGTAGTTTGCATGGCAGTGGTCTTTCCTTTTTTTGGTTAGGTTAGTTCATAAACACTTAATTGTGAATACTATTGTGAATGGTATTGTTTTTCTAATTTCTTCTTGACAAATTCATTGTTGGTACACAAAAACACTATGGATTTTTGTGAATCAATTTTTTATCCTGGGACAGTGCTGAATTTGGTTATTAATTCTACAAGTCTTTTGGTGGAGTATTTTGGTTATTCTATGTAGAAAATCATGTCACCTGCAAATAAAGGTAATTTGACTTCTTCCTTTCCTATACATATCCTTCTTATTTCTTTCCTTTGTCTAATGCTGTGGCTCAGATATTGAGTACTATATTAAACAGGAATTATGATAGTGGATGTTCTGGACTTCTTCCTAATTTTAGAGGAAATGCTTTTCATTTCTTCCAATTTAAATGATATTGGGAGTAGATTTGTTATGTATGGCTTTTATCAGATTAAAATAAAAGCCTTCTATACCCATTTTTCTGAGTTTTTATCATGAATAGATGCTGAATTTTGTCAAATGCATTTCCTGAGTTTAAGATGATTATGTAATATCTTCATTTTGGTTTATATGATACATTACATTAATTTGATGTGTGTATGTTGAACCATGCTCACATGCCTGGGATGAAGCTTATTTGGTCATAATATTAATCTTTTAAATGATTTTTTACATTCTGTTTTCCACTATCTTACTGCAAATTTTTGAGCCTAGGTTAAGGAGACTGGATAATACATCTCTTTTTTGGTTCAACCTTTTTCTGATTTTGGAGTTAGGTTAAAGCTAGTTTCCAGAAATGACTTTGATAGTACTTCAATTACCCTTCAATTTCCTTAACGAATGAGGTGTACTGGTGTCTGATCTGCAAATCATACTCAAATCCCAAAAGTACAACAGAAAGACAGAATCTTAAAAACTGTTAGAGAAAAGCAACAAATTACCTATTAACATAAACCCATTAAAATTGTAGTAGACTTCCAAATACAATTTTTTTATTTTAAAGAGAAAAAAATACAGTGATACAGAATTTCAAAACAAGATAATAGGATATTAATAATGATTATTATATTGTATATTGTTATCTTCAAAATAATTGCTCAGATTACAAGATATAGGCATGCAAAATTGATCAAACAATATAACCAAAAACTGTTCCTTTCAATGAACTAATAGAAATTAGTAGTATAATTATCTTATCTTTCTTGAGTGCATATATATTTTTTTCTTTCCCTTCCTTCTTTTCTCCTTTCCCCCATCTCAGTTATTTTTGTCTTTTGAGCAGTTTCATTCCCTTTCACAATATCTATTGGACTTTTTAGATCACATTTACTCTTTAAGTTTCTTACACTAAGGAAGCAATACAATGTTTACATATGCAAGCTGACTTCCAAACACAAATCTTAAAGGCCAGGAGAGCTTAGAGTGAACTATTTCAAGCCTTAAAAAAAATTCCAAGCCAGAATTATATAACTTCCAAAATTATGTTTCAAAATTGATGGAGAAATAAGGTCTTTCCATGAGCTTAGGGAACAATTCAACATGAAGAAATAATAATCATAAACATATATGCACCAAAGACAAGTGCACCCAACTTCATAAAAGAAACACTACTGGGCAGAGAAGGTCCAATAAACAACAATGTAGTTATACTGGGGGACTTTCAGTTCCAGACCCATCTAAAAGCCACCCACAGAGGACCTGACTTCTCACATGGAGACTGGAACCTTGTGTCTTTTTTTGCCAGAGCTTAAACTTTTCAGCGGGTATTTATCTAGCCCATGCCCTGTGCATGACCATCTCTTGTGGTTTTTCCCCCTCAGTCACTGTGGTAGGGCCACACTTGACACTCTGAAGTGAAGTTATTCTGTACCTGTTCTTTGTCTCAGTCTTAAACAATGAACCCTTTCCAAAATGGCTACTGATTATACCTACTCATATGGTGGATGTTGCATTGAATTTCTTCGCCACTCTAGCCTGCAATATGGAAGGAGTCATTTTTGGATAAAATACTACACTGATTTTGCAGTTTATATTAGCTGCAGGCTTTTTTCAGGGCTCGGGCTCCTGGCCCAGCCCATTGCAGTGTTTCTCCCTGGAGCTGCCAACCTAGGCATAACTTCTCTGCTCCTCTGTGCCAAGGAGGGATAAAAAAGTAGAGAAGTCTTGGAGGTGGTTGGGGAAGAATGCAGCTCTCTGGTGCATTTTGTAGTCTCTGGAAGGCCACTTCCTCCTCAGCCACAGTTCCTTATGTATGTGAGCAGCTAGCTCACTTCCTGCCACAATGTTTCTCTTTATTTAGGTTAATAATAATCTTTCTCCATCTCTCTGCCTCTGTCTCTGTCACTGTGTCTGTCTGACTGTTGGCCCAGGTGGCCCAAGGAGGTTTTGGTAGATGAGGTGATGTTCCCAAAAGCACACAGAGTCATCATCACCAACAGCAGCAGAGCCCAGCAGAGCGAGAACTTGCCTCTTTACTGTTCAGTGCACATACTATTGTGTTTACATTTTTGCATACTGACATGACCGTGTGCACATACATGTTTACCTGTGCTAAGTCATGCTTATATAACTGTGTCCCAGTCTGCACCTGCACTACATAAGGGTGTCATGTCCTCAGCCTTATCCAGAGATGTCCTTAGACCCCTCAAGCTGTGAAGCGCTTTGGAGCAGTATCTCCACACTGACCATCTCTCACATACACACACGCACACATACACACACTCCCATATACATACATGCGCCATTATTCTTGTATTTTCCAACTGAAGATCTGAAATGGCTTCCCGATATACCAGTCTTTAAAATCTGCCACCTATGATGATCTTTTCTGAATTGCAAAGATGACCCTAAAATGATACCCAGGATAACATCAATGTAGACACCAACATAGTAGGCAGCTTCTTTAATATTTTGGCCTCAAGATCCTTTTTCATCTCAATGGCCTCCCTCCTAACTTTCCAAAAGTGTGTGGCCCAAGTCAGTGAGTTTCTCTTTTTATAAGCAAGCACAGCTCATGCAGGGCCTTGCTATCAATCTGTGAGTCTTGCCTTGGTCGCTCAGTGGATGTAAAATTAAGCCAATTGTCTTGTGTCCCCCTCTAACTCCTGCTTTCCTTTTTAGCCCCATTTCTTTTCTACAGAGATGATTACCTTGTTTGTGAGGTTTGTTGTGTCTCAGCTACGCTTTGATGGGTATTTGTTCTTGTTTCTAGCTCGTCATTACATATTATACCCTCCTCTGATTAGGTAAGAATGAGGGATCAGTGCGGCTCATCATCAGTTATATTTACTCCTTTCTACCATATTTTCCTGAAAGAAGGAACTAGGTGGAAAATAATCAGTGCTGAAAACTAGAGATCAAAACTTCTCGCAGCAGTCAGCCTATCCTTGCTTTACCAGGCATCACTGTTGTCTTGCTCAGTGGCAACTCTGTAGGAAGGTAAGTCAAGGACTGGCTGATTGGAGCTGGCATTTTTGATCTTAGCTTTCATCAGTGATTATTTTCCAGCTAAGTCTTTTTTTTTTGGAGGAAAGAATGTATTACTCATTAGCTGTATTGGACATGTTAATTCAATCTTGTCTGGATTCTGTTGAACAGTCATGTTTACTTTAATGACAACCTCTTCAGCAGTGTTCATGGGACAAACTGTGGTCAGCTACCATGTGTTATTAATGTCACCTGAGTCTATTCTCAGGTCTGTGTTACATCTCCTGAATCACACTGTGAAAGTAGATACTGGGAATCTGTGACATACTAAGCTCTCTACTACACTAAGTCTGTGACTCTTCTGCATACTCACCCTGAGAAATGCTTCCCTAGTTAATATGGGTACCTCAGTTCTTGGCTGCATATTAGAACCACATGAGATGTTTGAAAATGCTGAAGCTAGAGCTTTACCCTGGGTGAGTTATATCAGAATTTCTTGGAAGCGCAAAAACTTATTACATGCTTGGCCTATAATATATATCTAGGCTTGAAGGCCATTCTTCAAGTCAGTTGGGATAATTCTGTATACTCACAGTAAATATATGCAAAGTCTGGAGACATTTTAGAGACAGTGCCATAACATCTAGTGAGGAGATGTTGCTAAACATTTTATAATACACTGGGACATCCTTTCCACTGCAACAAAGAGTTTTCTGGCACCAAGTGTCAATGTTACTGAGGTTGAGAAACCTTGCTCTAGTTCATGCTTTTGTTTTAGTTTTGACTCTTCCATTTAAAACATCCTTTAATAAAAGCATCTTTATGGATTACAAAGGATTTTACTTTCAGGATATTACTCAGCAGATCTAGGATAAACTTGAAAATATCTCCCCAGGTTTTGCTAATGGCACTGGGGTGCTCCTGAAAGCTAAGCTTTGAGACTCTCCAATCATTTCATATAAATGCTCTTATCCTTCTGAGATTGGGCACACCCTGATAATTAGTGGTAATCAATAAGAGATGAAGAAACAACAGTCTTGGGACACACTTTCTGTATTTGGATTTTAATTACCTGTCTTGTTTTATGTTTTTGGCAATGTGAAACATAATCTTGTTCCTTTTTATCATTATCAAATATATTTGCCTCTGTATATAGCCCCTTCACATAATCATATATTAATCATTTTGCTTTCTTTTTATAGTATAAAAAGAAAAGTGGGGTATGAATCTGAAGTTCAATCTTTACTGAAACTGAAGTCAAAAAACAATGATTATCTCAAACACCTATACAAGGAGGCTTATCAAATTGGTGCTCTTTTCCACGTAACCAAAAATAAAACAGACGATATGGAACTTAAAGTATCAGAAGTGAGAAGAAAATTTAAGGTTATGTATCTTTGTGTTCTTACTAACTATGAAAAAAAGAGGACTTAACCTGATTTGTATGGAGTTGGTCTCGATAACTAGCTTTTAATTTAAGGATAAATAGTCTGAACATTAGAAGATAATTACATCTTTCCAAAGGCCCAGTTTGCATAGGAAAAGATGAAATTTCAATGTTCTGAATCAACTTTTGTATCTACTTTTTATTGTTATCAACTATTACACTTCTTGGAGCACCAGGAGTGTAAGGCTTGATTCCAATTCATGCTGTATATCTAAAAAATAATGGTTCTGTCTGTGGTAGGAACAGGGAATTCTGAGATGTATTCTCAAATCCTCTGTAACAAATATATAGAAAGTAGCTACAATGGATTTGTGAATTATTGGATTTCAGAGCAGCAGGCAATGTATAGACTATAGTGCTACAAAAACAGCTGTCTACGTGCCACAAATCCACTGCTTTGTGAGAAGTATGATGAACAGTTACTCCCTGCCACTGGTTGCAATGTCAACCCCATTTTACTGCATGTTGGAGACCACTTTACCAGGCTGCTCCCATCCATCACACCTTGCACACCCACATTTCTCCTATCTTTGGCATTTTCTTATTAAAAACTTATGAGCATAAAATTGCTATACAATTTGTACTCTATGTCATAAACCTGTTGCTGTCACTATCTTCAGTGAAAACTGTCTCTTGGAATGTATAAACTGGGGACATATACATTCTCTGCTAGAAAATGTTCTGTCCTGAATGCCTGGGGTGTAGTTCCCACACTGAATCCAGCTGTTCAGCTGACTTGGTGAACTCAATGTACCTACGTTCCTCCAAATCAGTATTCAGTTGGTTCATAATGTGTTTTATGTTTAAAAGGTAAGAAGCAAGGTAAACATTGTACATAGTAAACATCAAATTTAAGATTATTGTATTTTAAAAGCATAAGGCATAAGACTATATATACAATGTAGCAATACAATACTACTTTATGTATTGTTTATAATTTAACTTTTCATTAGCATATTTTTCTAATTAGTTTTGTTTTCCTTGAAGATATTCTTGGAGACATCATCATCCAGTTGCTTGGCTACGTAACAATGAATTTTAACTTTTTCATTGTACTGTTCAATTATTTTTTCCACAGCTGTCAAAAAACTACATTTTCTTCTTCAGACATATTGCTTCATTTGTATGACATTCACTTATTGGAGGGATAGTACATTGCTTTATCATTATTATCAGCCATGAAAATATTGAGAGACTGAGTTCACGTTTGGTACGGCTGCATTGCTCTTGCTATGATAATGAACGTTCCGTTACTGTAACTAAATTCTTAAGATAACCGCCTTACAACAAGAGTTTACTTAGGCTCACCGTTTCAGAGATTTTAGTCCATGTCAAGCTAGCCATGTTTCTTAGGACCTCTGGCAGCACAGTACCTCGTGGCAGAATACATGGCCAAGAAATTCCACTTCATTTTGTCCAAGAGGAGAGAAAAACACAGAGAGAACTGTGTTCCAGAACCACCTCCAAGGGCACAGCTCTGTCTCCTAAAACTTTCCACGAGGCCCCACTTAAAGTTTCCATCATTTTCCTATATTGTCACCCACAGATCAAGCGTTTAAAGCATAGGCCTTTAGGGAATGTTCAGAGTCCAAACTACAGCACTTACTTTGCAAACCCAAGTAGAGTAATCCCCTTTCTGTCTTTACTCATGCCGAACGGAAGTAAGCATTTGTCATGTTCTTCCCTACTTCATGGTTACCAAGAGATCACTGGAAGAAACAACAGAGAGAAACTGCTTCATTTAGAAATGATTCCCAATTGAGAAACATCCCTGCTTATATCTGAACCTGAATATAAATGGCATTAAATTTTTATAGTGTAATGTGCATATGCTTATCTGAGTCAGAGCAGTACTGAATTAAAATTAAATTTCTAGGTTGTCCTTAAACAACTCATGAATCTGTAGCAATTCATGTGTAGCATCTGTCTGTGTAATGACCCTATTGTCTTTTGCTAAACGATTAATGAAAATCTGTGTACTATACTGAGTCTGTGCATTACATTTTCCTATCAGGTACATTTCTATATTGGTTGATCTTGGTCTGAAACTAATCTTTAGTCCATGTTAGCCAGAAATTAATCATACCAATTTTACTTCTGGGATAATTCTGAGGAGTAACTTTTTGAAATCTTAATGGTAGAATCTCTGAATTATGTTCTTTCAAGTTAATTCATAAATGAACAATATGTATTACCTGGCTATCCTTTACAATCAAGAGTGGCTAGTAGATTCTAGACATTTCTAATTTTAAATCTGATTTCAAACAGATAATTTGTCTCAAATTTTCCAATCTTCAATCCTAATAACTGACCTGTTCAGAAAAGCAGTATTTGACCAAGTCCTAGAAAAGATTCACCAGTTGGGATAAGAGATAAATCACTACATAAAAGAGAAATATGTGGTCAATCATGGTGTTGAAGGAAAGAAACAGATAAACAGCCAGAATGTGTTAAGAATATGCCACTGCCACAGTGAAATTTTGAAAATTTTCAGTACATATTCAGTTTTTCTCAGCACTTAAGTTGAATAGTCTTTGTGGGATTTTTGGAGGGATTTTTTCCTCAAATGTTTTGCAACTCTGGTAGAAAAGCATATACTTCAGGTTACTTTGACTCCAGGTTAGAATCATAGTTTTAGAATTAAGAGGGAACTTAGAAAGGAATGAACAGAGCAGAAAGGAAGAGAGAACATTCCACAAACTTATTTTATGTTGGATCTCTCTCTTTCTCTCTCTCTCTCTATCTCTCTCTCTCTCTATATATATATATATGTATATATATATATATATATATATATAATTACTATAGTGTTTGCAATATTGTGCAGTTGTAAGCACATTTATTTTGGTGGCAAAATGATTGATCCAAAGTAGCATAGCTTTTAGGTAACTGCAGAGTTTAAGAGCCAAGACATCTGATACTGAACCTAACACGGTCAGTAGAATGCTATATCTATACTCTAACCAACAAAGATTCAGTCAAGCTCAAACCTTCAAAATAATCACATAAGGAGATCATTTGAATCCTTGAAAGTGGTGATGTATTAGAATTTCCACAGTAACCTGCCCATTAATTCTACATTTTAGACTGTGATGACTTCCCTTGAATACTTATAAAGTGTTTTCACTAATCCTAACTTATTCTTCAGGAAAAAATCTTGCACCTCCTTTCACATGCTACAGAAGTTTCCCTTTTCATCATTTCAGTTACCAATACAAGTTCTAAAAATATTAAATGGAAAAAATTTGAATTAATCATGTTTTAAATTGCATGTCATTCTGAGTGACACAGTGAAATGCCATGTTTACTGCTCTCTCTTCCAACTGAAGTAAATGAACGTACGTCACCCCTTTGTCCAGCGTACCGTGCTGTGTATCCTACGACGAGCCTGTTAGTCACTTGCGAGCCATCCTGCTCTTCGTGAACCATTGTGGTATTCCAGTGCTTGCACTAACTAACCTTTGTTTTACTTCATAATGACCTCAAAACACGAGACTAATAATATTAGAAATTTTACTACAGCATGTATTATTATTATTTTGTTCATGTCTTACTTGCCTAAAGGTAAACTTTATGGTATATATGTATATACATAAAGGAAAAAATACATAGTATATATACAGGGTTTTGTACCAAGCACAGTTTCAGGCATTCTTTGGGTGTCCCGGAAAATATTTCTTATGGGTAAGGGGAGAATACTATATTTGTTTATCTCTAAGGCAAGATTCACAGGCCCTTCATTTTAGTACAATGAAAGTCAGAAATTTCTAAAAAGCTTTTGTTCAGGATATACTGTCTTCCGGAAGAGACCTGCTTATAGCATTTCTAGTTCAATCAACAGAAGAGAAGACAATTCTAATAAACTGAGGTTTGATTTGTGTGCTTTGCAGCTTCTATAAGGTTATGGTTAAGATTGATGATATTTTTAAATGGTTATAAAACAGACATTCTAAAAAGTTCATTAATTTTCATTCTGAAGAATTTATGCCTTATAGCTGGTCAAATCTAGAGCATATCGCTCTTGCTCCTTGTGTAACAGCCTTTTTATTGAATTATGAACTGAATTTAAATTCTTGATGTTCTGTGAAGGCTGCTAAAAGTAATGGCCAGAGTTGATTATTGTTGCTTGGTTTTCCAAACTAATGAGTAAGCCGACCATATTGTCAAGTTGACCTTTTGAAGGGATACTCAACTAATATATCTTGGATTTCAGAACTAAGAGTAAGTCCATTTTTCTTGATAAAATGGAATTTCTTCCTTATTAATAATTAGGTACTCTCAAATGTCTTGTTTCTCATCTATGCCATGTTAATTATCTTCTTTATCTTCCCCTATGTTCCATGTTTGCTAATTCAAGTGATACTTTTGCTTTTTTTATGAGCTTTGAATTTATTAAAATTCTTTGTTGGAAGTAGACTATTTTGCTGAAATGGAGTGCAGAGGAAGCCACTGTCGTTAATACTGGGAATGCCTGTCACATGAGTGAGATTTGGTTTCCGGGCAAAGGGTAGTAGAGCACAAGCTAAAGGGAAAGAGTGGGAAGTAGGATTCAAGTCCTTCAAGAGGTAGAAAATCTAATCTTCCTGACATATTTGAAGGGATAAGCAAACTTGAAATATTTGCTAGCAATAAAGCATGGCATATTTATGGTTTGGGGGTGCAAAACATTAGAGGATGTGATCAAACTTTGATTGATTTCCTGTAAATATCATATGGGAGCAAAATTTCCATCCCCGTTCTAATGGGTTATAGCTTTGCTTCCAGAAAATAGGTGGAAATTGACACTTCAGCATTTGCACTTAATTCTCTGAGCTTTGTTTCTATTTGTCTCCTTTTCCGAAGCAAATTTGCTTCAATTGAAAAAACCTGTATGTTAGAGGCAGGTGTTTCTTAATGTGAATCCTGGTTCTGCTAATTATTTGTTCTGAGAATACTGAAA